AATAAAATAAATAAATCCTAATAAGGCAGAAAAAATTAAAAGGTAACTTACGCCAATATAAGAAGAAATAATATGACTTACAAATAAATGAAATGGCACGGTATTGGTATATTTTATTCTTTTATATTTTTGGTCTTTTTGAGACTGGGTCTTTCTGTTGCCCCAAGCTGGCCTGGAACTCACTACATAGACCAGGCTGGCCTTGAACTCCCAGAGATCCGCCTGCCTCTGCCTCTCAAGTGCTGGGATTAAAGTCGTGCACCACCATGCCTGGCATAGTATTATTCTTTATTTTTTTAATAAGAAATCAAAGTTATTACTAAAACTGTTATTTCCAAAGCTATCTTTACTGCTCATGATGGTAGCTAGCAATTCCTGAGTACTTGCCAGGTGTTTTCTTGAAAGCTTATGAAACATCCATGTAGCCATTGTGGTCTGGAGTTTAATTGTCCCAGGAAGGCTCAGGCTACAGGCCTAGCTTACAAACTTGTGGCGCTACTGGGAGCTAGTAGAGCTTTAAGAGGTGCGGCCTACTGGAGGGAACCTGGGTCACTGGGAGTCTTCCCTCAAAGGCAAGACTGGGACCCCAGGCCCTTTCTGTCCCTCCTGCTTCCTGGCTGAGGCTTCCTGCCATGCTGCACTGTGACCTAAAATTGCTGAAATAAAGAGCCAAAATAAACCTTTCCTCCTTTAAGTTGATTCTCTCAGGTGTTTTGTGATAGCAAAAGAAAGCTGGCCAATACAGTAACATAAATTAATCTTAAGAGCAATTAAGTGGGATTGGAATCATCCTCTCCTTTTATAGATAAAGACTGAAGCTTGAAGAAGATAAACTGACCCATTACTATTACTATAATCTTGTCATGATTTAAACACCTGTCAGTCTCCAAAGCCTACAACCACAGGCCTCAAATTGGGTGATGCTACAATACATATCGCTGGAAAATATATAAATCACAATTGCAGGCTGATCTAAAAAGGAACCTTTCTACTTTCCTAAGTAACTTTAAGCTCATGAAGCAGTCCATATTAATGACATCACAATGAACATTCATGCTCCTGTGCATCCCCCAGTCCCTGTTGTTGAATTTTGGTAATTATTCTCATGAATTTCAATTGCCTCAATTTTATACTCCAAAGCTATCAAATGTACCAGAGTTTATGTACTAGAACACCCATATATTCCTCTACATTTACCAACTGCTAAATATTTGCTACAATTGCTTTACATATGCATATAATTTTTCTTAAACCATTTGAAAGTGTCAGCTGAGAAAAATCTATGTTAAAATCAAGGACTGGGCCTGTGAGATGGCTCAACAGGTAAGAGCACCTTCTGGGTAAGCCTGATGGCCTGAGTTTAATCCTGGTCCCATGGTGGAAGAGGAGAATCAATTCCTGAAAGTTGTCCTCTGTGGTGCCATGGCAATGTGTACTCTTCATACATGCACACACACACACACACTAATAGTAACAATAAAGGACTTTCTACTACATTATCACAGTACTTTTGCACCTAAGAAAATTAGCATTAATTCTGTAATGTTCACATTTGAATTTCTGTCACATAGGTCTTTTACATGTTTGTTGCCTAATTCAAGATGCAGTTGATGTCCACACACTGGATTTGGAGGTGAGACAGTCTGTCTATGTTTTTCGGAGACAGGGTCTCATTACATAGGCCCTGGCTGGCCTGGAACTCAGAGAAATCTACCTATCAGTGCCTCCTGAGTGCTGGGCTCAAGTCATGTGCCACCACTCCTGGCTGCATGTTAGTGTCTCAAATGATTGTTCTTCCTTGGTTCTGTACTTCTGTAGCTCAGAACTGCCCTTTAGGGTCTGCTATCTTGGAAACCATTGCTGGATTCTGGAAATTACAAGGACTTGATGGGAACTGTCTATTCACACATCAGGAGGCACCTTAACAATGTCAGTTTGTATCACTAATGGTAAGGCTAGGCTTCATGACTTGGTGAAGGTGGAGGATATCTGGTGTGCACATAGATGTCTACGCAGCATATACGTTTACGCAGCATATATGTTGTAAGCTTCATAAAAGGGTACCAATATAAATTCTTTCTTATGCATGTTTGTGAAATTCCCCCATGTTTTAAAAATCTGAAGTAGTAGGGGCTAGAGAGATGGCTCAGAGGTTAAGAACACTCGCTGCTCTTGCAGAGGACCTGGGTTTGATTGCCAACACCCACATGGCAGCTTACAACCATCCTTAACTGCAGTTCCAGAGGATCCAGCACCCTCTTCTGGCTTCTGTGGGCATTGCACACACGTGGTGCACTTACATACATGCAGGCAAAAACACTCTAAAAATAATATATATTTTTAAAATCTGCTTTAGTTGACTTACCACTACTGTTTAACATTCTTACATGACTGTATTTGCCAACTCACCTACTTGCTGGTGGCCTTCTAGGCCTCCTCTACATTTTTGTGCTGTTATGTTCATTCATGTACTTGTCTCCTAGTATATAACTGTTAGGATTTCTTTAAGCTTTAGGCCTGTTAAAAAGGTTTACACACCTTCAAATTTGCTAAATTTTGCTGATTTTTTTCCAGATTGTACAATGTACACTATCACTCACCTGAACATTACCGTTAGTTTTTAAAAAATATTACCATTGTGTGCATATTTGGGGAGGGGACATGCCCACACCACAGTGCACATGTGGGGATCAGAAGACAACTTTGTGGAGGTTTTCTGCTTCTATCACATGGGTTCTGGGGATGGACCTGTGTTGGCAGGTGTGTGCTGAAAGCACCTTTCCCACAGAGCCATCTCACTAGCCTTTATTGTTAGCTTTTATTAATTTTTAATTTATTTATTATTTTATTTTATATGTATTCATGTATTGCCTGCATGTAGGTAAGTGCACCCCTGTCATGCAATGCCCACGGAGGTCAGAAGAGGCTGTTAGATCTCCTGGGACTGGAGTTACGGACAGTTGTTAGCTGCCATGTGGGTGCTGGGATTCGAACCCGGGTCTTCTCCAAGAACAACCAGTGTTCTTAACCATCTCTCCAGCCCCTATTGTTAGCTTTTAAAAATTTATTCTGGGGGATGGAGAAAGGGCTCAGCAATTAGGAGCACTGGCTACTCTTGCAAAGGATTGGGTTTTAGTTCCCAGCACTCACATCATGGCAAACACTCATCCTTAACTCCAGTTCCAAGGGCTCTGACACCCTGTCCTAGTCTCTACAACCATTGTATGCATGCAGCACACTTAAATACATGCAGGCAAAACACTCATACACATAAAATAATCAAAAAAAACCTTTTAAGGTTTATTTTTGTGTATATGTTTGCTGAGTAAGTGGGGCCTCTGCAAGAGCAGCAAGTGCTCTTAATCGCTGAGCCCCTGTTAGCTTTTAAAAGATTCTTTTTCCACTTTAGCGATGGAAAAGTGATTTCCATCACTTTCTCAGGAAAAAATATTTTTCCTGAATCATTAAGTTTCCTAAGTCCAAACCTATTTCAATTTAAAATATTTTATTTTTTATTTTGTGTGAGTATACTGCCTGCATGTGCACCTGTGCCATGCAACGCTCGCGGAGGTCAGAAAAGGGCGTCAGATTCCCCTGGAACTGGAGTTGGAAGGTTGTTAGCTGCCATATGAGTGATGGAAATCGAACCCGGGTCTTCTGCAAGAGCAGCCAGGGGGCTCGTAACCGTTGAACCATCTCTCCAGCCCCTCCATTTCAGTTTAGAACTACAGAATATTTAAAACCCCAGAGATCCCTCAGTAACCTACAACCCTTTCAGAAAGCCTATAATCACACCCAAGTTTGCCTATGAAAACTCTCGTGTTTTGTCGTTTTTGTTTCTGCGTTTTTTGAGACGATTTTGCTACGTAACCGGGTGGCTTGGGACTCCCCATGTAGACTAAGCTGGTCTCAAACTTCTGCAATCTTCCTGCCTCGGCCTCTCAAGTGCTGAAATACAGGCGTCAGCCACTACAGGAATACTATAAATCTTACTTAGATCAACTAAATCTACACGTACCTTCAAGGCTACACCATTCACTTAAGTGAATAAGATTCTCAGTTTCGTAAACTTCAAGGAACAAACGACTGCACTGTTCATTACTGAAGCGCATCTGACAGGAATTCCCTCCTGAAACACCAACTGACTCTGGCCAACTGATGGCTAGCCAGGATGAAGGCTCTGAGGGGAGGAAAGATCTGCTCCTACACGTCCGCGGGTGTAACCAAGAGGCACAGAGGAAAAGGTCTAGGACAAAGAACGGACCAAAGAGCTTCCCGTGGAGCTCGCTCTTCGGGGTTCTGACACTGAGGAGCTGATGGGAAGCTAAGGTGTGCAGCCCAGCTCCGGGGTCTGCGGGTCCCGCGCGTGCGCACTGGCCTGGTCCCGCCTCACCTCCTCTCCTCCCTCGGGGTTCCGCGCGGGTCCACGATGACCGGCTTCCGCGGTGGCTGGAATGCGGGGGACTCGGAAGGCCCAGTGCTTTGTGGCCGGCTCGGGCACGTGCGGACACGGCAGGCGACAGACACGGGCGCAGCAAGCAAAGGCCTGGCCGCTAGGAAGGTCCGGGCCAGGCTCAGGGAGGCCCTGGAACCTTCTGCCATGCAGGCCGCCATGTTCACGTGTACAGGAGGGACTACAACGCCCAGAAATCAGTGCGACAAGGCTTTGGGAAATGCGGCCCCATGGTGGCTCCTGTGGGACAAAAACAGTCCCCCTGCCCAACATCTATCTTTTCTTGGCTGTCTTGAAGGGGGAAAGAATGAACTAACTCCCTGCTTCTCCATCATTTGCAAAATTACACAGAGTCCTCCACGGGATGTTCTTCCAGCCCAGAAGTCTCTGTCCCAGGCAAGCTTATTAAGTACTGTGATCACATTTGCAATTTTCAAACTAAATTTTTTAAAATTACGTGTATGGGTATGTACACATAAGTGCAATACCCTGGTGGCCAGAGGTGGCGGTTCTTTGGAGCTGGAATTACAGGCAGTTGTGAGCCTCTGGAAATCGAACTCGGGTTCTCTGAGAGAGCAGGTAGCATTCTTAACCTCTGAGCCATCAGCTCTCCAGCTGCCGCCCCACTCCCCCATTTGGAATTTTTATTTGCTTATGCCTACATGAAAAAGCACAACTCTCACCTCAGAGGGAATAAGAGTTTATTTTGTAGTCAAATATGAGTAATCATAACCCAGGACATAGATTGAGGTCACCCCAAATTTCCATGTTCTGACAAGGTAGCAATTTCAGGAAATTTTCGTAGTATCAGAAAAAAACATCATAAAAGACATTTAAAACGCATTAGTTGCGTATGTCAATTAGGTAAGAAGCAACAAAATATAGACCTCAGATTATCGGATCACATTCTTAGCCTTTGGGTTAGTGGAAGCAAGGGGGTCTCCAAATGAAATTACCTAATAGTGGCAAGGATGTTGGGTCACACACAAATGGCTGGTAATAAACAGCCATTTAAGGGGCTAAGACAGTCCAAGAGGGAGCTGGAGAGAGGGCCCAGCAGTTAAGAGCACTGGCTGCTCTTGCAGAGACCCTAGATTTAGTTCCCAGCATCCACATGGCAGCTAACAACCCTCTGTAACTCCAGCTCCAGGAGAATCTGACGACCTCTTCTGGCCTCTCAGGGCATTGGAAGACACTACTGCACTTACATAAATACAGGCAAAACACTCATACACATAAAATAAAAATAATTTCTTTAAAGTCCAAGATAGTTTGTCTCTGGGTCTGCAACATAACCTCTTTCACCATCATCAAAGTTCTAATCAGTTAATCAGCCTTGTAGAATGTTTAGATGATTCTTTGGGGGAACTTTAGTTGAAACTTGTATAATTATGATATTAATATTTAGTGTCTCTAGTATCAATTCCATGAGGGAAGAATGAATGTCTTTTTTTTCTCCCATTTTGTCATACAACCTAGCACCTCATTGGCTCTCACAAACTCGGCAAAGGAGAAAAATCATCATTCTTAACAAATAGTAGGGGGAAAAAAAAAAATCCCTGAGATCACAGAGATCATTCCCCTTCAGGAACTAAAATCGAGTGTGCAGTAGGTAACTGAGAGGCGTGCCACTAAAAAGAGGGTTGATTTTAAATTGAGGATGGGTGTGGGCTGGGATGTGGCTTAGCAATAGAGCACATATTTTGGATGCAAAAAGTTCCAGGGTTCCAGTACCAGCACCACAAGTAGACAAAGACAGACAAGTCAAGGCAGGGCAGTAATTAACCCTGTAATAATATGATTATTAGTTATTCCAATTGAATTAACATCCCAGTGCCATCCAAATTCAACATGACCAATACAAAATGTATCCATCCAATACAAAATGCATCCATCAAAAGCATCTTCCAACTTCTCCAGCATCAGCTGTTTCCATGACTTCCACATCCATCCTACCACTCCAGCCAAAACTCTCAGTGCCATTCTTGATTCTTCCCTGTCTCTGGGTAAAAAGTTCCTAAAACTATCCCTGAGGCCATCAAATATCTCAAAAATCCTTGTATTTCCTCATCTCCCCATGGTATCTCTAATCCGGACCACCATCCTTTCTCCTCAGGATCACTGCAAGTTGCCACAACTGCCCTGCTGTGGGTCATTCTATATCCATTGACTTCCAGTTCTCCACATGCCAAACAGCAGCAAAAAAAAGATGACTCAAAAATGTATACCTCATGCTTGGGACATGGCTTAGTGGTGGAGCACTTGTCTAGCATGTGCAAAACCCAGCATTGCAAAAGAAAGAAAACAAGGTACTTTTGGCAGGGCGTAGTGATATATGCCTTGAATTTCAGCTTTAAGGAGGTAGAGACAGAGGATCACAAGTTCAAGGCTACCCTGGACCATATAGCAAAACCCAGTGTCAAAAAAAAAAAAAAAAACTCAAGAAAATAATGAAAAGCACACTTCATCCTTGTCTTTATCCCCAATTTAAAGTCTTCTGACTCCTCTGTTGATCTTGTCTAAAAATAAAATTCCTAAATATCAACTACAGCTGGTGTGGTAATCTCTACCTATAAGCCCAGCACTTGGGAGATGGAGGTAGGAGAATCAGGAATGAAAGGTTAGCCTGGACTACAGGAGACCATGTACCAAAAAATCCCACACAGCTAATCTTGGCAGCCTGTCCCCACACTCCCACTTGCCATCTTGGAGACAGGTGAACTGCTATTTCAGCCTGAGAAAGATGGCCATGTTGATGTGGGTTCTCTGAGTTCAAGGGAGCCTTTCTCTGATCTTGGTAAACTTGGGAAGCCAGGGTGCTGGATGATTGATGATCTCCAAAGCCACCCTGAATCAGTGGCTTCCAAGTTCATGCCTCATGCTCAAGAAGAACAAGAAAGCATGGACAATGAAAGGGTGTAGGCAGACTGAATACAGGTTTACTAAGGGAAAGTAAGAAAGAACTTCTGGGGGTGGGGTGTGTGGGACTTCAAGGAAGGAATCCCACCATGCTGCCCTCCTTGTGACCTTTTATAGATATTATGGCAGGAACTGGATGGAGATGGAGGTCATTTTTATTGAGACTTTTCACTTTTTAGCTCATTGTGAGCAGAGCCCACATGCCCTAAGCATACATCTTCACCTAACCAGACCAACCAGGGGAGTGGTCACATGCGCCAGGTCATGATCCACCATGGGCCTCACCCATACTGCCCAAGAGGAGCTAATGCTTATCTCATTGTGTGATCAATGAAATTCAAGGTGCTGTAAGGAAAGTCAGGACCTTCTATTTTAACTCCAAATTTTCTTAATTAGAATAAGAAACTCTCCTGAAGCTGTCCTATCAATAAGAAATTACCCAACCAAAGTTTCAGATCAGTAGAATTGGCTACTCTGCTCATCCCAGAGACATCAAACCCTTAAGAAAGAGTAAAAGGAAGGAGAGACATAACTGTCATCAGTGGTGCCAGGGATTTTTCTATATTAACAAAGTTTAAAACAGCTTGGCCTCCACTCTTGCTAGGACAAGGTAAGGCCAGGGAGTGGTTGACAGACCTTCATTAGGGCTGCAATTTACTGAATATCTCCAAGTCATCCTTGCTGCTCCACCCTGCTAAGGTGGAATAGCTTTGTAGAGTCTTAGAGAACTCACAAAATGCACCTAAGGAATCTTATTTCAGAGGCTGGAGAGATGGTTCAGCAGTTAAGAACACTTTCTGATCTGGCAGAGGACCTGAGTTAGGATCCCAGCACCCATGTTGGGTGGCTCACAACTGCCTGTAACTCCAGTTCTAGGATACCCAACTCCATCTTCTGGTCTCTGAGGGCAGCCACACACACACACCTAGCATATACATTAAAAAAAAACCATTTCTTCCCATGTTTCTACTTACCCAACTGAAGGGACTGTGAAATAGTGTTCCTATGGCTTTAAAAATATGTTTGGTAAATTAAGCTGTGACCTTGAGCATGTATGCCTGGAGAGCCTTGTCTCATGAGAAAGTTTATGCAAAAATGATCACTGAGGAGTTATCTCTGGAATGCCAGTATTCCTCTAGTTTCTCAAGAGACTCTTATTCTCTCCAGAAGGCATACTATGGTGATAATGCATGCTATCTTGCTCCTGTTTTACTGAACTACTATATTCTGGCCACTTTATTATTATTCATTGTTATATACTCATCTGTAACTCTAATGAATATGCGTATATAAGCAGAGTTGCCTGTGCTTTTGGCACTTGTGCGTGGATGAAGAAATAAGAGTAAAGAAATAAAACCATTCAAAGTCCTCTGGTCCTTTTTCAGTTCCCTGATAATCCATTCAGGACCCGTGGCTGCCCCCTGGTGGCCACACCTAACTCCATCAGGCCACTCTGCTGTCATCTTGGTGTGAAGAACAAGTTGTAGTTTTAATTATCCCACCAAACAACTTCACAGAGAAAAGTCAAAGCATGGATTTGGCTTAGCCATGGGCCGATTGCAAGAACAGAACTTTAATTATTTGCTTCTGTGATTTATACCCATGAGAAGAAAAGCATGAAGACACAGTGTTCAGCCAAGGGAATCAAATGTTCCAGGCATACTCCCCATGTCGGGTTATTGTGACGACTGGATTTTTGTCTGCCTTGCTCATAATTACGTCTTCCACATCCACTGTGGTATCTGGCATTCAATAAAACTTCCAAATAAAGTTGAGGTAATGCATTAGTAAGTTTTTTTGGTCGATGTGTGAATCATAATAAATTCTTTGCTTCTAGCTTTATGGAGGTAAGAATGAAACCTAAAAAGTTTATGTATTTACTTAAAGCATTCAGTAAACATGGTGATTCGATATATATATATCGATATATATATATATATATCGATATATATATTATCAAGTGATTCCCAAAATGGAACCAATTAACTTAACCATCATGTCATAGTTACCCCCTTTGGAAAAAAAATAAAGCTTTATTGAGTTAGTCATCTTTCTGTTCTTGTGACAAAAAGTCTAAGAAAATCCATTTCAGGGGAGATTTATCTTACAGGTTTAGAGATTTCCATCCAGCATCAGCTGGCCCCACTGCTCTGCTGACTCAGGGCAGAGCATCATAGCAGCAGAAGCTTGTGGTGGAGGAGGCTGCTTACCTCATGACAGCCTGGAAGCCAGGACAGAGAGAAAGAGCCAGCAGAGGAGGAGGCCACAAGG